CCCATGATTTAAGAGAACCAGTATACACTGTCCATTGTTCTTTAAAGAAGGCAGTTACCTGCATTTTGCATATTAGTGAATCTGATTCCTATCAGGGAAATGGGAGGAGAGGGAGGAGGTGTTTGTTAGGAAATAAGAAGGATTTCCTAAAGAAATTACTTGGAGCAACAGGAAGATAAAATGAATAGCCGTTCGGCAAATACCTGGATATCCATAGCCATTCTGCTCTGATGTCCTTAGGAGAAATGGAGAATGAGGAAAGACAAAATTTTCTGTCTGTCAAATTCTCTTCTGACTTTAGTTTCATATTAAAATTTCTTGTGATTAATAACTTTAATTTTTCTTAATATCAACCTCAGAGGTTATTATAAGGATTAACACAGTAACTTATAAAGCACCAAAAATATAGCAGATGCTCAGTCCTTTCTCCTTCCCTTAGGACAACAAAAGCAATTCCTTGTGCAAGTTTTTATATCCTCCAACCTTCTTCTATATGTTGCATACACACAGACACACACACACACACCCCTTAGCCTGGTGATTTTGAAGACTGAAAATAACAGAAGACTCCACCAAGATATTCTCTGAGGTGAGGGACTTTCAAGGGGCATGTCACTTCCCCACGAAGGAACCCACAGGAAGTTGTCTTTTTTTCCTGGAATGCCTGAATGACCCTGTCTTGAGGGTGTGATCATTGAATTCATTTTGATTCTGCTTTATGGAACTCTTCCCTCTTCTTGGTCCTGACTTGAGCAATGCAACAAAATGAGTCCTGGATGTGGCCCGTCCAAGTCGACGATGCTTTGATACATACTTCACCTGTTCACCTCCAAATGCCTCTTCAGGAACAGGGAAGCCCTTTAGCACTTTAACATTTATTCTTTCCAGATACTTGCCTGACAGACTTTTACAAGCACAGTTTAAATTGGGCAGGATCTCAGAGTCGATATTTTTTTCCCTTTTTCAGATAGCATTTTTCTTTTTCTCCTGGCAAGGGAAAGGTTTGGGAACAATACATATTTGTTTGGTCCAGGAGAGAGACAGGGAACTGGAATGTGTTTATGTCACTTTTTTAAAAAAGCGTTTAAACAAGGTGCTCAGTACACAAAGAGATGCCTCCAGAAACTGAAGAGGGATGGATCTCAGCATATTTAATGTGAGAATCTGGTAAACAGTTCTAAGGGTTGGTTTCCAAATCTCTGCCCGAAAATCATTTCTTTCTCTCTGTGCACGGATACCATGGAGCCAGTGGACCAGAGGAGGTAGATGGGTAATTGGGCAGCAGCACAACTCATTTCTCAGCTGGCAACCTTTTAAAGACTTTTAAATCCTCAACAGCAACTGGCCTTTCCATTGTTCTTTTCCTCCTTCTGGCTGATGTCTGCACAGACTTTACTGCCTCTGTATTGACAGGCCTAAAAACTCCGCCCACTGCCTGTATCAGGAACAACACCCAACACAAACCGTCTGAACATAAACAACCAGCCATGTAATAGCATGGGATGTTTCCTGGTATCCAAGTTTCTGCCTAATGGGAAAAATCTGTTTTCAGCTTGGACTGCAATAGGAAAGTTATTTATCTTGTGAAAGATGGTGAAATAAAACAGTCCTTCCATTTGGTCAGCAAATATGTAAAGAGAACAGAATCTGTAACCCTCCAAGATCTGAGCACTGGGAAAAGACAGAACCAGGGAGCTACACAAACCGAGTAGGAATTCCCGAGCTCATAAGGATTAAGAGCTTTCTGCTGACGGCATTTTTTTTTTTTTTTTTTTTTTTTTTTTTTGGTACGCGGGCCTCTCACTGTTGCGGCCTCTCCCGTTGCGGAGCACAGGCTCCGGACGTGCAGGCTCAGTGGCCATGGCTCACGGGCCCAGCCGCTCGGCGGCTGGGATCTTCCCGGGCCGGGGCACGAACCCGTCTTCCCTGCATCGGCAGGTGGACTCAACCACTGCGCCACCAGGGAATACCTGCCGAAATGAAACGAAAAATTTGGTGTTTGAAACGTTGATTCTCAACTCAGGCTGCATATTAGAATCGCCTGGGGAGATTTTTAAACTAGATCCTTGGTCCTGGGTCCCGCCCCCCAGAGATTTTGTGGGTTTGTTGTTTGTTTGTTTGTTTTAATCTCCACCAGGGATTCTGATACACAGCCAGGATGGAGAATAACTGGGTTAGAATGTGAAGAAAGTTCATAAACAGAGACTGGAGATCAGAACCCTAGCTGCAGAAAGAAACCTCCCAGAGCAGATCAGCCTGACAGGTATATAGCAACAGAGAGTAGAAAAGTGGTTGCCAGGGACTGGAGGGTGGGGGAGATATGGAGAGGTTGGTAAAAGGGTGTAAACTTTCAGTTATAAGATTAATAAGGTCTGGGGATCTAATGTATAACATGGTGACTGTAACTGATAGCACCGTACTGTATAATTGAAATTTGCTAAAAGAGTAGAATGTAAATGTTCTCACCAAAAAAAATTAAAATAAGGTCAATATGTGAAGTGATGTGTTAACAAACTCAATGGGAGAAATCCTTTTATGACATATACGTATATCATCACTTTGTATTCTTTAAATATCTTACAATTTTATTTGTCAATTATACCTGAATAGAGCTGGGGTAGGGGAGAAATACGGCACATAGATACAATGGAATATTATTCAGCTGTTAAAAAGAAGGAAGTCCTGCCGTTTAAAACAACATGGGGGTGGTGGTGTGATGAATGGGGCGATTGGGATTGACATGTATACACCGATGTGTATATAATTGATGACTAATAAGAACCTGCTGTATAAAATAATAAATAAAATAAAATTCAAAAATTCAAATAAATAAAACATGGATAGGGCTTCCCTGGTGGCGCAGTGGTTGAGAGTCCGCCTGCCGATGCAGGGGAGACGGGTTCGTGCCTGGTCCGGGAAGATCCCACATGCCGCGGAGCGGCTGGGCCCGTGAGCCATGGCCGCTGAGCCTGCGCATCCGGAGCCTGTGCTCCGCAACAGGAGAGGCCACAACAGTGAGAGGCCTGTGTACCGCAAAAAAAAAAAAAAAAGATAAATCTTGAGGGCATTGTGCTAAGTGAAATAAGTTAGACAGAGAAAGACAAATACTGTATGATCTCACATGTGGAATCTAAAAAATAAACGAACTCATAGAAAGAGAGTAGATTGATGGTTGCCAGGGGTGGGGGGAACAGGTGAAGGTGGTCAAATTCCAGTTCTAAGATGAAAAAGTTCTGGGGATCTATGGTGACTATTGTTAACAACACTGTGTTGTATACTTGAAAGTTGCTAAGTAGATCTTAAAAGTTCTCAACACACACATACAAAAACACAGTAACTATGTGAGATGACAGATGTGTTTAACTGAACTTATTGTGGTAATCATTAGGCAATATACACATACATTGAACCGTCGCCTTGTACACTTTAAACTTAAGCAATGTTATATGTCAATTGTATCTCAATAAAGCTGGGGGGAAAAGAAAACATCAGCTAATAGGTAATAAAAATAATAAATTATCACCACTTGGCAACCCCTAATGAAATAAAGGATTTAGGCCAGTAGTTCTGAAGCTTGATTGTACATGGGAATCACCTTTGGGAGCTTGAAACACACTAACTACCGGCTCCCACCCCCAGAGATTCCGATTCGCTTCACCTGGTGGGGAGCTTGGCAATGAGACTTGGGAGGATTAACGTCTGCCTGGGTGACTCTAATGAGCAGGCAAGGTTGAGACCATTGATATGGGCAATGGACATCAATAGTCACTGGAACAACCAGATAGAAAAGCTGGTCTAGTATAGATGGCTCAGATGGATCACAGCTAACTCCACTGATCTATCCCACCATCGTCAAAAGGTGGGATGCAATTGGAAGTACCCAACACCACTTAGGATGTGTACTTGTCAAAAAGTCAGCCTGAAACTGATGTAGCCTCTTAATTTAACTATCACCTACAGGAAGTAAAAGGGACCTACACGAAATAAAGGACACCCTCAGGATGTAATCAGCAAAATCCAGAATGTGGTGAAGTCTACAAGACAGATACTTCAGTTTCTCTAACAAATAAATTATAAGAAAACAATAAAGGATAGGGAATTGATAGATTAAAATAGTCATAAAAGACATAACCAATGCAAATACATAGACCTTATTTGAATCCTGATTTGAACAAACCAACGGTTTAAAAAAAAATTATAAGACAATCAAGGAAATCTGAATATTGCTAGATATTTGATGATACTAAGACATTTATGTTAAATTTTTAGGTCAGCAGCTTTTTCTATAAAGGGCCAAATAGTTAGTGTTTTAGGCTGGGTGGGTCTACAGTCTGTTGCAACTACTCAGCTCTGTCATTGCAGCCTGAAAGCAGCCATAAACAACACATAACAAATGGCTGTGACTGTGTTCTTCACAACAACAGACAACTGCATGGATTTTGTCAACCTCTGTTTTACAGATACATTCAAAAGAGCTTCTGGATGAACGAATGGAGAGGAGGGGAAGGTGGCTGAGCAGTATAAATGGAACAAGGTCGGTCATGTGCTCATAAATAGCTGACGATGGGTACATTATACTCGTGGTTGTGGTTCTCAAAGCGTGGTCCCAAGGCCATCGGCATCAGCATCAGCTGCAGACTTGTTAGAAATGCAAATTTCAGGCCCCACCTAAGACTTAGGAATCAGAAACTCTGGGGGTGGATCCCAGCAATCTGCTTTAATAAGCCCTCCAGGTGATTCTCATGCACACAGACTAATGTTATTCATTCTCTCTGTCTCTCCCAGTCTCCCTCTCCCTCTCCCTCCCCCTCCCTCAACTCTCCTACGTGTTTGAAATTTTGTGGAGTAAAAAGTTTTTTTCCCATCTGGTTTTCAAAGTGGCTGTACCAGATAAACAGTCCCTCTTAGGAAATACAGTTGTTTTAGATGACATATGATTGCTGAAGCAGGGAATTTAAAAATTCAAATGAAACAACCTTTTTTTTTTTTTGAGAGTTAAACCATTTTATTTATTTATTGGTGGGTAGGGAGGGACAGGCAGTGACAAGCCTCAGTAGGGGGGCAAATACCAGCTAGATCAAGAAGGGAGGGGCAGGGGATCCAGAAACGGGGACCTTGGAGGGGAAGGTGAGCAAAGAAGACGTCATCCTACCACTCTTACAAGTCCTTCCAGGTCACTCAGGAACATCTTGGGGCCCTTAAAGAATGGGTCGTCCCGCTCAAGGCTCTGGGCCTGGAGCTGAAAGCTGCTGGGCTCCGGGTTAGAAAGGGTGTGCCTCTGGAGCTCCCCCACCTAGCTTCCTTAGAAGTTCCCAGCTACTGTTACAGTCCGGAAGACTGATTTCAGAGCTAGATGAAGAAAGTGACATGGCGAAGATGGCAGCCGCGGGCAGCTTAGACTGGAGGATATGAACGGATGTCCTCCAGCTGCGGCCTAAGTGCCGCCCCTCCGTCTTTGGTTTCAGCAGCAGCACCGGGTGCCGGCTCAGCTGGCCCTGCAGCAACTTCTGTTCCTCCCGAAGCATCTCTGGCTCCTCCCACGGCAGTTGCTGCTCATTCCGCAGCTCTCGGTGAAGGCCGCTGGTAGCCTTGCACTTCTGTGGTCCTGTTTGTATCTGGGCTCTGGCGCGTTCCTGCACCTGGCTTCCCAGGCCCTGCAGTTCCCTTCTCAGCCCCTCCAAGCGTCGCTCCGGGAGACGGGCCCTTCGCTCTGGGCCCCCCTGCAGCAACCTCAGTGATGCTTCCAGGGCACAGATCTGGTACTTCTGCTGCTCTTGCTATTCCAGCAGGCTATTCCTGCACAGCCTGCCTCAGCACCTCAGTCACCTGAGCCTGGGATCCGAGCTGGGATCTAAGACTCGTAACTACACCCCGGAGAGAAGACGCACCGTGGGCCTCGGCCCAACTCAGCCTCTCTGGGACAATGGGAGTCTCTAGAGTCCAAAGCTGTTGAGCTTGGACTCGATCCAGGTCCCAGCGCAGTGGAGACCCCAAGGGGATACAGCCGCTGCTTAATCGTGGCACATTTCCGTCAATTGAGAAGCACGCGTCGAGCTTCTCAGATCAGCTCAGGCGCCTACTCAGAGCCTGCGGCAGAGGTCTGGCTTCCTGGCGTCTTGGGCCCTTGCTCTCCCGATCGTGGACACCCGAGGCACAGCCCAGGAAAGACCACACAACGTCAGATCGAAAGAGGTGAGTGGGCATGCAATGCTAAAGGTAAGGATGCAATATCAGACCAAAACTGCGCCTCTGGGACTAGTCAGGGGAGAGGCATCCTTGGGGACCTGGGGGAAAAGTGGGATGGATACCCTGATACGCAGCTATCCGGTGGGAGTCAAAGGTGCTGCATCTTGGTCGAGACCTCCCCAGACACAGGACGCTGGTGCCAGCACACCGAACCGGTGCCAGCTACTATGAAACAACCTCTCCTGAAATGCTTCTTCTAACTCAAAACACATGACTAGCACACAGATTTTTGTATAGTCCTGGGCTTTTAAAAAAAAGTATTATTATTAAAACAGGAGCTAACCCACCGAAAGTTTATTTTATATGTACTATCGGCTGAACATTTTTATCAGTTTTTCAGGGAAAAAGTCATTTGTTTGATCTGAAAACACCTGTTATCAAGAACAAATTATCTTGCAACATATACAAATATCAAATCATTATTTTGTATGCCTGTTATCTTTCAATTATGCTTCAAGGAAAAGGAATATTTCTTCCTAATACTCTACTTTGTTTTTTATAGGTATCAGATATTATTTTCCAGATTTTGTGACATTTTAACAATGATTTACGATATTTATTATGACGATGTCTTGAGTTAATTTGAGTTGAAAAATGTGCCAACTTTCAGAACACAGCAGCAGATTTTTTAAACTTCTCATTATGCCAGCAAATAGTTTGCAATTGTTTTGGAGATGAGGTATGTGGAGCACGTCTCCATTATTCCTTAAAATTTATTCTAGCTATTATAGAAAGAAGATGCTCTCTGTGTGGCAAAACAGTCTGTAACAAGCCATTTTGTTGCATAAATTCACTATAGACTCTCTCATTCCTCTACAACTAAGCTCTTCTTTACTTGTGTCTAAGTATATGAATCACTCGTTCTAAAATTACTGATGGTGACAAGAAATCTAGAGGAGGCATCCATAGTATAATATGTTGTATGTAATATAACGTGAGCAGAAGTTACATCATTCCTACTTCTTGATCTCATTTGCCTAAATGCATTTAGTCTATCAGGATTGAAATATACTATCAAAAGTTGTCATTTTTATGTTAAATATTCAGTATCTTAAAAAACGTATTTTCTACAGAATAAGTGATCCGGGCATATTGTTTTCAATCTGTATAATAAGATACAGATTCTCCTCCTATGAGAAAGTGAATTATTTTATCAATTAAGATGACCTGGCTGCAAGAGATAGAAACTGCCTGGGGAACTTTAGCAGAAAAAGACTGTATGGGAAGAAGAGAAGGTAACTCACAAAATGGAACAAAATGTGGAATAAACAGGTTCAGAAAGGGCAGGAACTAGAGCAACCCTGGAGAAAACAGAAGCCGGACATGATGAATGGTCACTTCAGGGAGTGCTGCAGAGATAAATAGTGCTGGCCATTTGGGGTCTTTAGATCACTCTTTTCAAGAACATAAATGCCTCCAGCCACCTGGCTTGGGTCAGGGGTCATCATGTCACTGATTGATAGTCCATCAAAGCAAAGTTGGGGTGCTATTAAGCGAAATAGCAGATGGGGGCAAAAATGATAAATGTCCACTGAAATCATTAATTTTCTTTTTTCTTTTTTTTAATTGAAGCATAGTTGATTTACAATGTTTTGTTAATTTCTGCTGTCCAGCAAAGTGATTCAGTTATACATATATACGTTCTTTTTTTAAATATTCTTTTCTATTATGGTTTATTATAGGATATTGAATATAGTTCTCTGTGCTACACAGTAGGACCTTGTTGTTTATCCATTCTATATGTAATAGTTTACATCTGCTCACCGCAACCTCCCACTCCATCCCGCCCCACCCTCCCCCCGGCCCTTGGCAACCACAAGTCTGTTCTCTATGTCTGTTTCTCTTTCATAGATAGGTTCATTGGTGTCATATTTTACATTCCACATATAAGTGATATCATATGGTATTTGTCTTTCTCCTTCTGGGTTATTTCACTTAGTATGACAATCTCTAGTTGCATCCATGTTGCTGCAAATGGCATTATTTCATTCTTTTCATGGCTGAGTAGTATTCCATTGTATATATGTACCGCATCTTATTTATCCATTCATTTCTCAATGGACATTTAGATTTTTTCCATGTCGTGGCTATTGTGAATAATACTGCTATGAACATAGGGGTGCATGTATATTTTTTAATTAGAGCTTTGTCTGGATATATGTCCAGCAGTGAGATTGCTGGATTATATGGTAATTCTATTTTTAGTTTTCTGAGGAACCTCCATACTGTTTCCACAGTGGCTATAACAACTTACATTCCCACCAACAGTGCGTGAGGGTCCCCTTTTCTCCACAACCTCTCCAGCATTTGTTATTTGTAGAGTTTTTAATGGTGGCCATTCTGACTGGTGTGAGGTAGTACCTCATTGTAGTTTTGATTTGCATTTCTCTATTAGCGATGTTGAGCATCTTTTCATGTGCCTATTGGCCTATTTGTATTTCTTCTTTGGAGAAATGTCTATTTAGGTCTTCTGCCCATTTTTCAATTGGGTTGTTTGTTTCTTTTGTTGTTGAGTTGTATGAGCTGTTTGTATATATTGGGAATTAAGCCCTTGTCCATTGCATCATTTGCAAATATTTTCTCCCATTCTATAGATTGTCTTTTCATCTTGTTTATGGTTTCCTTTGCTGTGCAAAAGCTTGGTAAGTTTGATTAGGTCCCATTTGTTTATTTTTGTTTTTATTCTATTGCCTTGAGAGGCTGACCTAAGAAAACATTGGTATGATTTATGTCAGAGAATATTTTGCCTATGTTCTCTTCTAGGAGTTTTATGGTGTCATGTCTTATGTCTCAGTCTTAAAGCCATTTAGAGTTTATTTTTGTGTATGGTGGGAGGGAGTGTTCTAACTTCATTAATTTACATGCAGCTGTCCAACTTTCCCAACACTACTTGCTGAAGAGACTCTTTCCCATCGTATATTCTTGCCTCCTTTGTCAAAGATTAACTGATCATAGATGTGTGGGTTTATTTTTGGGTGCTGTATTCTGTTCCACTGATCCATGTCTCTGTTTTTGTGCCAATATCATGCTGTTTTGTGAAATCATTAATTTTAAAATACCACTTAAAAGCAAGTCAATCATAGTAATCCCTCATTCAAGAAATATGGTCTGTCCATAACACAAAGTCTATCATCTCTTTAATTCTGGTTATATAATTGAAGACACACACACACACACACACACACACACACATGGATATGAGTAAAAATTACAGATAAAGTGTGTTAAGTTTGAATTATATTGGGCCTAATAATATAAGGGGCTCATCCATTCATTTATCCACAAATATTTAGGCACAGTTCTAGATATTGGGGATACAAGACTGAAAACAAAAATTTATTTTAATCCTTGCCTCATTTTTGTGAGAGAGAGAGAAACAATAGACAAAATAAATAAGTAAATTTTGTGGCATCTTAGAAGTTGACAAGTGCTATGGAGAAGAATAAATAAGGGAGGAAGGACAGAGGAAAGGGAGTGCCAGGTCAAGGTTGCAAGTTTAAAGAGAGTGATCAGGAAGGGCCTCACTGAGGTGACAATGGAGCAAAGACTGGCGGGGAAAAAGGATGTAAGTCAGTCAGGTATCTGGAGGAAAGTACTCCAGGAAGGAGCAGCAGGTGTAAGGCACTGAGGCAGGTGCTCACCTGGAGTGTTCAAAGACCACGAAGAGACCAGTGTATTTGGAGCCCCTGGAGTGAGCCATGGGAGAGGGGTTGGAGGTGGGGTCAGAGTAAGAGGGTGATCAGGCCATGACAGGCCTTGTAAGCCACTGTGAAGCCTTTGGCTTTTTCTCTAAGTGAGATGGGAAAATCACACCGCAGAGAACCCATGCTCCCACCTAAGAATTCATCTTCCCTTGAATCATCTTTCCAGTCCAAAACCTATCAAATATCAAAACATCCTGGGGGGGCTTCCCTGGTGGTGCAGTGGTTAAGAATCCACCTGCTGGTGCGGGGAACACGGGTTCGATCCCTGGTCCAGGAAGATCCCACATGCCGCGCAGCAGCTAAGCCTGTGTGCCACAACTACTGAAGCCCACGTGCCTAGAGCCCATGCTCCTCAACAAGAGAAGCCACCGCAATGAGAAGCCCGCGCACCGCAATGAAGAGTAGCCCCCGCTCACTGCAACTAGAGAAAGCCCGCGCACAGCAGTGAAAACCCAATGCAGCCAAAACCAAATAAATAAATAAATAAATAAATAAATTTATTTTTAAAAAAAAACATTCTGGGGACTTCCCTGGTGGTACAGTGGTTAAGCCTTCGCCTTCCAATGCAGGGGGCACTGGTTCGATCCCTGGTCAGGGAGCTAAGATCCCACATGCCTTGGGGCCAAAAAACCAACACATAAAACAGAAGCAATATTGTAACAAATTCAATAAAGACTTTAAAAATGGTCCACATCAAAAAAAAATCTTTAAAATAATAATTCTTCCCCCCTCACCCCACCCCAGTTTTCAAAGCCCATCTGTACACTTCCTAAAGAACTAAACATTTCTGCAATATCCAGGCATTGTCTCACTCCTCAAGCAC